TTTTCTTTATTTTCACTCCTTGTGAGGGGACTATATATTTCTATTTAAAATTTGGGTTCCCTATTGTGGCCCCGCCCTATCCCCTGGGGTCAAGATTTAAAACAATTTAGATTCTACTCAACTCCAGGATACGTTCATATAAGTTTCAGTTTTCTGACACTGGTTCTTGAGAAGAAGATATTTTAATGACCCACCCCACAGGGGCCTGTAACATACTGTATTTGATTTTACGTAATCACTATATGTATACACAAAGAGAAAGGGAAACAACGTCAGCTCGAATTTACACAGGGTCGATCTCGGAAATGACTCGTGTTTTCAATAAAATACCTTGCAGTTAGTGAAATAACGTCTTGGATCATTCAGTAATAATCACTCTTTAATAAAAATACCATCGCGGTCATTTAAGAATCGTGTAAGTCGTGTTTTGCAGATCCGATATCCTGTCGTGCAAGTGATGTATTTTAAGTCGTCCACTAAATTCGCTAAACATTGCATCCAATATTTAACGCGAGATGTGATTGGTCAATGGTGCTTTTCTAGAACAGATCTGACCAATCACGCTCCGCCTTTTACCAATCATGGGTTTTTCCAAAATGTCGTCTGTTCTGGGCTCGATCGTCTCTGTGAACGAAAAAAGCTACCGTATTTATTCAAATCGGAGATGTTGTACCTTTTAATTGCAATTAACAAAAGAAAAAGATGATTTTCGTGAACGCTGGATCTTTACTTTGTGTTTTCCATCTCCGGAAAGACTTCAAAACTGAAGAAAATGTGCTAATTTTGCCTCGTTTTAGTGGACGACTTAAAGTACATCGACTCGCATAACGGGATATCGAGTTAGTAATACCCAACTTAAACGCTATAAAAAGTAACGAGGTTTCTGTTTTATTAAAGAATATTTATTGTAGTATGATTTCTATTATAATTTAATTGGCTACATTCTTTTTTCTATGAAATACGAAAAATTTCCGAGATCGACCCTGTGTAAATTCGGGCTGACGTTGTTTCCCTTTCCTTTTTTGTATATATATATATATATAGTGATTACGTAAAATCAAACACAGTATGTTACCGGCCCCTGTGACCCACCCTATTTTTGTCTTTTCTTTATTTTCATTCCTTGTGAGGGGACTTGGACCTTCATTTTTATAAAATTTAAACTCCTCTTTACCCAAGGATGCTTAAGCTTTGTACCAAGTTTGCAATTGGGTTAAAATTGACCCAGAAGACCTTGAGAAGAAGTCCATCATGTGAAAAGTTTACAGAGGGACAGACAGACGGACGGACAAAATGTGATCAGAATAGCTCATTTGAGTCTTCGGCTCAGGTGAGTAAAACGCAGTGGTCTTCAAAGGAAAAACACCGCAACGATGATACAATGTAAACATTTTCAAATAAGGGAAAGCAAAAAATGTATTGCAACATTCCTGTTAGGGCTAGGTATTGACCCGGGATTTCGTATTGCGATATATTGCGATATTTTAAACCGTATTGCGATATGTATTGCAATATTTTCAAGTAATAAAAATGGCATTTTCCAAATTTACTTTAATTTACATGCAGAATGTACATAACTATGATAAGTAACCAACATGGAAAAAAATCTTGTTGATTTCAGTTAAAAATGTTCCAACAAAACAACTTCTGACTTACTGTTTGGCTTAATAACAAACTTTTATAAGTCCATTTTTATTTTTAATGACAAATTTCCTTAATCTAAGTATATTGCCAATATATCGATATTACAAAATCGTATTGCAATACGATATTCTTTGTCATTGTATTGCAATATATTGAAATATCGATATTATTGCCCAGCCCTGATTATTTCCTGTAATTTTAATATTTTCCACTCATGTAGAGCCACTCACAAAAAGACGTCAGCGCTTGCAGATAGACGGCTACAAGTTTAGATCTTGACTCTTGAGCCACAATGCAGAGAGGGATCTTTTTTCGAAATTCGTGCCAACACCAAATGCGACATGGGACCTCGATTTATTCTGTCTCAACCAAAGAACCGGTCTACACATTACAGAGTGGGATTCGAACCCACGACGTTTGGACCACTTTCTTATTCCGTGGCTTAATTAAGAGCAATCTTTCTAGCCAATGCAAAACGCCGGTGTAAAGACGAATAATGACCCCCATCGAATAATGACCGGGGGTCATTTTTCGACAGCAAAAAATGACCCCGGTCAATATTCTACGGCGAAAAATGACCCCCGGTCATTATTCGACGTCGAAAAATGACCCTTTTGCCCGTAGAATAAGTGTCACAACCCTAAAAATTTGCAGAACCCACGTGAAGAAAAATAACCCCCGTAGAAAAATGACTCCCTGTGGATTAAAGCTGAAATTTTTAGGGGGCAAAAAAAAATTGATAAAGAAGCATATTGGCCAAAATGCTCACCGAAGCTAATTGGGAATAAATTGATGATATTCTGATCTCATATTATACAATTATAGCTATATTTTAAGGTCAATGCCATGATTCAGAATCAAAAGCAGTAAAAGATTTATCGAGCCTAAAGGGTTAGGTAAACATTGTTTTTCGATGGTGGAAATCATCGTACCGACAGAAAAAATCAGCAGTATTATATATTATTATATCCTCTGCTTTAAAAGCGGGAGGGTATATAGTGATCAGGATGTCCGTCCGTCCGTCTGTTACGCTTTGGGGTATCCATCTCTTATCCGCTTATATATAAAAAGATGTGTTTGTAAAATAGCTATGCCCCTGTATGGCAACATATACTGGTACCCAAAGTAGGGTCTTCTCACAAGAAATACAATTGCAAAATAGGAAAGCCCTAGCACCACTTGTTCAAAAGTCATGGCTAAGGATGAGGTTTTGAAAGGTAGGTCAAACTCAAAGGTCAAAGGGTCAAAGTTGATGGTTTCTTAAGAATGGTTTAATGTAACAAGGATTGCATATGTGAAGTATGAAAACCCTAGCCCTTACCGTTCAAAAGTTATGGCCAAGTTTAAAGTTTTTTCATAAGTAAGGAAATCTCCAAGGTGAAAGGGTCAAAGTTTTAAGTATCCAATGAAAGGTCATGCCAAAAAAATTACATATGTGAAGTATGAGAGTACTAGTATCTACCGTTTAAAAGTTATGGCCAAAGAAAAAATTTAGCATTTTTGTGTAAAATGGGACAAACTCCAAGGTAAAGGTCAAAAGGTCAAATTTGGTGGTACCCAAAGTAAGTTCTTGTCACAAGGAATACTGTATGAAAGTCATAGCTCCAAAAAATGAAAAGTTATGGTCAATTTTTTTGCGGACAAACAGACCGCCAGATAGACAGACAGACATGCAGACGGACACGATAAAACTATATACCCCCGAATCTTCGATTACGGGGACATAAAAAGAAATTGTTTTCAATTAATTGTTCAAATTATGATACAGTGTAAAGAAGACGTTACAAAAATGAAAATGTTTGTTCTGATTTACATATTAAATTCTCTGAAAAATATACTCAGAACTGAGTAAAAGGGTGGAGTAAAACAAGAATTAAGAAATGTAATGAGTACTGTGTGCTAAATCAAAAGGTTATGTCTACATGTATAGTTTTTGCATTAGAATGTGTATTAACACAAGCCCATAGCTTTACAGAGCATATTTTTAAGTGTTATACCCACCCCCACCCCCCCATTCACCTTTACTTATTTAGGAGGAAGTCGATTATCAACAAAAAACAAAAAAAAAAACTACCCTACCTTTATTTTTCTATAAGAAGGGATTAAAAATAAGCTTAAGCTAATCTACTATTCTACTAATTTTCAATTGTTACTTTGCCACAATACTTTCAAGTATACCCTCAACAACATTTAAGGTCAGACGAGACGTTCCTCAAAATCTGTTTTGTATAATTTATCTTCGTAATGTATGAAAAATATTCAAAATTTTAATTATATTCTGATTTCTAAACCAGTTTCTAAACGTCTTTAAAGAATCCAGACACTTAAACATTTGAAATCGGAAAATAATTTTTCCTCCCAAAAGGAATATATAAGAAAAACAACCCATGGTATCTTGCAGAAATGCCTGGTAAAGTACCTCAAATTTTTGTGAGTAAACATGTTAAAGTAGCAATACTTCAATGACAAAATCTTGGAAAATTTTATCTATTATTAAGGAACGTCTCGTCTGTCCTTAAAGTATGCTTTAATCATGGCGAAGTAAATTATGATATGATAGTACTTGTGTGAAGGCTTAACTTCATTTCAATATTTTATCTAGAGCCTCTTTCAGTATTATTGAAAGGTATAGAGTTTTATTTATATTTTTCCTTTTCATTTATTATTTTTTTTTTTGTTTTGATTTAACGTAATGTTCTTTTTGTGTGTGTGTGGGGGGGGGGGGGTAAAAATTTCCTCCTCTTTCATTGTCAAATAGGATTTGCCAAATTTATACAAGCTAAAAGTTAAAATGAAGGAAAAATTATTATTTCCTATTAAAGAGTATTTTTAAAAACCTGATTGTTGCATGGTTTGATTTCTAAAAACAAGTAGAATATCATTCTTTAAGCAAACATTATGAGGAGGAATATTAAAAAGAAATTTTATTTACTTGACAACTAAAGAATCTCTTTTCAAACACAATTTTAGCATTGAAAGACTACGTGAATCTCTTAATTATTTCATACGACTTTTTGTATTATTCTGGTTACAGAAAATGTAAAAATTACTTTACCTATAAAAAAGATATCAAATATTATAAATTTTGTATCACTTGAAAGGGGGTCATTTTTCAATGGAGGTAAATTTTTTATAGGACGAACAGATAAAATAATGACCCTAGGACTCTTTTTCTACAAAAAATGATTTTTTTTCTACAGGTGGGGGGGGGGGTCATTTTTCTTCGTTGAAAAATGACCCCCCGGTCATTATTCGATGGGGGTCATTATTCGTCTTTACACCGGCGACCACTGAATTCTTAATAAATACACTAGAAGTCTGTAATAGTGATAATTATTTTATTCATTAGCTTAATTTTTTTCTTTTACTCTAAACGCAATGTATTTTGGCGTCATGATTTTTTTTCTACCCGACTCAAGCAATTTATATTCAACATTCAAGCAATTTACAGGTTAATACGTTTTTTACAATATACACTGAAAATGATTGATTTAATCTGATGTTTCCAACCATACGCTTAAAACTGTATCTAACGAATCAAAAAAAGCAGGGGAAACAATATCAAGACTAGTAAAAGAGATGACGAATACAGTGTAGATACTCCATTTCCACCGAATCTCCGAACCCAATCCCAATAAATAGAGTTGTCCATACAAACAGTTGGCTGAATAGCATGTAGAAACTGCATGGATACTCTCAAAAAATCTTCCCCGCACTCAAACGCTTTCAATATTGTCTCGGCGCAGCTGAATTCTGTGGCTATAGATCTGTAAGTTGTTAGAAACATTTTGAATAATAGTAATGTTGTTCTGACATTGATACATGGAAGATGTTTTACTTGAAATGAATCAATGCTTTGTAAGCAATAAGATATTGAATTCAGTCCTTAAAATGTTTTTATAGTGTTCATTTCGTTAAATTACTGGCACATTTTAAAGACAAATGCAGACTTAATTTTCTTGACTAGTTGTGATATTAATAGAATTTGAGATATAAAATTAAATATATAAAATAAAGAAGAAGGAATGGTTTGGACTTCATTGTGCCCTAAAAATTTAATGTTCTTAAAAAGTTATGAAATTGGCTTTTACAAGAGTTAAGTATAGATGAATATGATAAATTATTAAGGAATATGAAATGAAAGAGGACCTTGTGGAAATATGACGTCATAAATTTGGTACATTTCTAAGTTTAATGCAGAAAAACCTCAGAATGACACATTTCTGTGTTTATTTTATTTTAGTAAATAGTGTCTGCCTCCGACGCCCACTTCAATTTTTGGATACCGGTTTATTATGTTCACAGCTTTTAAAAAATAACTTATCTCAAAATCTTTGTAGGCGATGCATACAGAGTATTTTTTTCTGAAAGAAAATTCCACTTGATTAGAATTGATGTCTTCTGCAACTTTTTAAGAAAATACTGGAAAGTGTGCAAATAAATGACGTCACAATTAGTATTTTGAAGGTCAAATGAGAAAAACGATTTGTGTATTCTTACTGCATGGAAGACTTTTGATTTAGAGAGATGAATCTTAATTTCTTATATCAATTTTATATTTTAGAAAAATACAAAGGGCTAAATTTGTATTGAGACTGTATCTTGTTCTTTATGCACGAAATTAACATATTAAATTAAACAAATTATAATTAAGTTAAGTAATATCAATATATAAATAAAATTTATTTTGTTTCATAGGAAAATATCTGCAAATAAAGTTTTAAACTATTTATGTTCCTGGATCGATAGATTTTTGTCCTGTCTATTTGTCTGTTTCTCTGTTTGTCTGTCGTCAACTTGTCAATGACCTTGACTGTGACCTATATGAAAAAATAGCTTTTTCAAACTTAAGCCATAACTTTTGAACCATAGGAGATAGAGACTTCATGTTTGGTAATGCATATTCCGTATGTTGATTATTGTATTACTGTGGGCATCCAGAAACAATCTACCAGGATGTTTTATTATTGGAGAGAAAGACAGACAGAGAGAGAGAGAGAATTTTGTTTTTGCTGGTCGTAAAACAACATAAAATCACAATCGTCAACAACCCCCTATTACATGAAACACCTGTCATTACAAATTAATAGATTTTTTTGTTAAATCCACTGCATTTGTTAAAAAGCAAAAGTACACTGGTCAAAAAAATTACCCCCCCCCCCCCCAAGCAAAAACAACCCACCCCCGAACGCACTTTCCTAATTTGCAACACTAACAACACAACATTAAACTGATTTTTAATACGTGTCGCTAATGAAATCAATATATTATAGAATCCAGTCTACTGAAAGAATTAACCAATGTTTATTTTTTTTTCTTTTCTTTGCATTTCTTTTCTTTGCCCACTACTCAGTTGAAAATTATACTCAACCTGGCTGACCAAAATGTGTGTTACTACATTATGCGTTCTTGCATTTTACTTAATCTCAACGCAAAATGTAATAATCCAAAAACCGCATTATAAAAGTTTGCGTTATTATATTTAGCGTTGATCTCGACGCAAAATGTGTGAACTGACCAATGTTCGGACAAACAAAAGAAGTGACCTAAGTTCGGACAACTTTAGCGTTATTTTTTTTTTCCGTGTAATAAATCGGTTTCCAACATAATAGGGAAACATGTCAATCTCATCGATCGGGTTTTTTATTTAGTCAAGACCATTTAATTATCAAGTGACTCTATACTTGGTGGTGGCGCTAAGATTTGAAGGTATGTATAGTTCGTTTTACGTCATAACATTCCGGAAAAAGTAAATATACACTTTGAAGAAATACAAATATCTGATGTTTTTCTGTATTTGATCCAGTATGTATTATTTGTAGTGCGTTTTTGAGTGAGTAATCATTCCCCACAGTAAAAAAAATAGATTAGTTATTTTCTTTCTTATTTGAGAAATCCTCCGAGAAGTGTAAAAACAAAGTGTACCTAGGTTTGTACACCCAACTGACCATGAGTCGAACACTGTTCCAACCAAGGTTTAAGCTGCTTAAATGTACTTTTTATAAAAGTTGGAGAGAATAAATCGTAAACAAGGTTGATAATCTAAGCATTAGCATATTATTAGTACTTGAAAAAAATCTAAATATCAGATTATGTAAAAGAGTATTTTAGATTTTCTCTATTCATATTTTCAACAATGATAATTATGTCTTTGGGTCGCATATAACATATTATATAAAAGTATCAATCCAGGAGACGTAAATGCGATTGCAGTTTACGAAGATCGTGCAATGACAGAAAAAAGATGTTATCTTCACCGCCCGGATGCATTCATCGTTTCACAATTATTTACAAGAAATCTAATTGAAGGTCCATGCTTTCTGAAAGCTAAGGGTCCTGTGGAAAGGTGGAGGAGGCAAACCGGTCCGGAGCAAAAGTGCAACATTGGGTTCAAGTGCATCGATAGCCTAGTTACGATCACGCAAATTAAAGACTTGGGGAAAGATTACGGACCAGATACTGTAATTTTTAAAATAAACCTTATTGCTTGATTAAATAAAGATAACACATATTTTTTCCAGTTAATATTATTTTTAGATGAAAACAAAAAGCAGAAAGGGCAAAACTTATAGCGAGGAGGATCTGCTCGCTGCTTATGACGTACTAAACGGTACGTCTGTAGGAAAGCAGCCGTCAAACACAATGTCACACATACCACTTTGCGGTATTGGTATTGGTTTTTCCAAATCAAACTTTTTTTCGTTACGCTGGAGACGTAGCTAAGAAAAGGGGAACACCTTTTAAAAACGGGCGCCTTTCTGAAAAATGGTGGCGATTGCTAAAGAAGAGACACAACAACCTCAGTTTGAGGACTCCAGAGTCCACGGCGTCGATCAGACACGAGATGATGTCAAGGGAGAGAGTGGGGTCCTACTTTGAAAGCTTAAAGGCTGAACTGGACACAAACAATCTGACAAATAAGGCTCATCTCATATGGAATATGGATGAGACATTTATTACCCTTTATTATTCGACTCAGACAAAATTGTTGCAAGGTCTATATAACAATGGTGCACACCGCGGAAGATATAACTGCTGGGACGTAGCATCGTTTTTGAAAAGGGGATGGGGCAGAAAAAAATCTAGATTGCTTGAAAAAAAAATTGACAAGCCAAAAAAAAAGGGGGGGGGGGCAATTTTCCAGTTTTTTCCTTACTCGAAAATCGGGGATGGGGTGTTAGAATCAAACTTCTTTCATTACCTTCTTTGCCCATTCTTACTACATTACCTTTACTTGTGTACTGCAAGGAAAAGTGGAAGGCCAACCAAACTTTCAATTAAAAATTTTTATGTAAAAAGTTATGTCTAGAAAAAAAAGTTGGGGGATGCTACGTGCCTCAGTGAACTGGCAAACTTGTAAATATTACGCTTTCATCATTTCTTGCATTCGACACGGACGTCCGAGAAAACGTTGGATTGAAATTCAAACTTGAAGTTGAATTTCAATCTACCTAAGCTACTTTCGTACGTAGAGTAATAATAAATAAACCATTTTTCAAATACTTTCAATTCCCGAATCGTTTGAGATTAATGGGTATGAAAAAAATGAAGAAACGTTAACATTATAGATTTAGAAGATAAAGATATTATATTTTATCTAGGGGACGGTCATAGGATCCTAAAGAAGGGGGTGTAAATTTCTTTCAGTTCATTCCTTCACAAAACAGAATAGACTGTCCGTTTGTATTATTGGTGTAATCAATAAACATGATAAATGGATTTTTTGAAAAAAATAGTTCTGGGATAACATTGATTTTGAGCGTAGGTGAAGTCGATTAGAAATAAACTTCGAACTTGAATTTCAATCCCATATTTTCTCAGACACTCGAAAATGATCCCGGCCAAATTCATATTATATCATAAAACTAAACCAGAAGTCTCTGTCGAGACTGAAGCTCTACTGGTTTGTACTTATAGCAAAGGAAGAGAAAAGTACTTAAGCAATTGGGAATTGAAACTTTACAACAGCAATAAATAGAATAATGATCCTTGATAAAGTCTCTTTATGTTCTTAGTGTAGTCCACTTGTGTGCCAAGTTATATTGAAATCAGACCAAAACTGTAGGAGAAGTAGCATTTTGAAAGAATTTCACAGAAATTTCTATTTTTAGTTACCACGGCAACACCGTTTATCGAAATCAAAAACCGATATACAGAATTATGTATCTTAGTGTAATCTACTTGTTTGCCAAGTTATATTGAAATCAGACCAAAACTGTAGGAGGAGTAGCATTTTAAAAGAAATTTCACAGAAATTTCTATTTTTAGTTACCACGGCAACACCGTTTATCGAAATCAAAAACCGATACAAAGAATTATGTATCTTAGTGTAGTCTACTTGTGTGCCAAGTTATATTGAAATCAGACCAAAACTGTAGGAGAAGTAGCATTTGAAAGAATTTCACAGAAAATTCTGTTTTTAGTTACCACGGCAACACCGTTTACCGAAATCAAAAACCGATACACAGAATTATGTATCTTAGTATAATCTACTTGTGTGCCAAGTTATATTGAAATCAGAGCAAAACTGTAGGAGGAGTAGCATTTTGAAAAATTGTTTACAGACAGACGGACAGACAGACAGACGGACGGACATTACTATCGCATAAGCTCTTCTGGTCTCTGACCAGTAGAGCTAAAGATAGGAATGACGTAAGCTGTATATTTCAATATTGCAAGTTAATATTCGATGGTCTTATACACAGGCACCTGACGAATGGAATGGCGGGGCAAACTCTAGAATATAACCAAAAAATGGAAAATGATA